AGGCTTCGTAGCCTTTGCCGAGATTCCACTCGAGGCATACAACTTCGTAGTTGTTTAGATCGACTTCGTAGTCGGAGGCTTCGTAACCTTGTCGAGAATCCACTCGAGTAGAACAACTTCGAGGGGATATATCAAGTATTATCTCAACACGCAGTTAAACATTTTCAAGAATAAATCCAATCATACCTCGCGAGCAAATCGAATAATCCCGTGCATAAATCATATAATATCAGCGAACAAATCCAATACTATCTTACCACACAAATCAAATAATTCCACGAATACATGTAGTGATATTCCACGAGCGAATCAAATAATCTCCAAGAATAAATAAAATATTATCTCCACGAGCAGATCATGTATCGCCTCCACGCATATAGCAAGTATCTCCATTAATAAGACAATTAATCTCCATGAATAAATCAAATATCTCACGAGGATAATTCAATTAAGTTTTGTGTATAAATCACATAATATGCTTGCAAATCAATCAAATCATCATGCGAGTAAATCCAATTGATCACGAATAAATCGAATGATGTGTTCAGGAATATACCAAATTATTCTCATAAGTATGTCAAATATCTTCCATGAATAAAGCAAACAATATTCATGAATAAATCAAATATTCTCTAATTTTCACTCATTTAAAAATTCTTTTATAATCGTTTAAATTAATTTCGTATCTTCAAGTAACTCAAATTTACCTCCCCAAAATAGCCTTGGGCTTGAATAAGGGATGTCCGAGCCTTGTTGGACCATTTTGGATCGAGTTGGGCGCGTTATGGGCTTACTGGGCGCGCGCTGGGCCGCAATGGAAAGTTGGGGCGTTGATGGGCCGAACTGGGGCGTTCACAAGCCTGGTTGCATCACTCATGGGCCGCAGAAAACCGCCAACTAGGCTGAAGGGACTTGCGCCAGGCGCGGGCCACATGCGGGCTGGGCTCGGGCCCTCGCGGGCTGACATCTAAAGGCACTCGGGCTTCACGGGCCAAGTCTGGCCCGCACGATTATAGTGCTTTCTTCTTGGGCCCCGTGCGATTGGGCCTCTACACTGGGCTATGGTCGCGGGCTTCTGCGCAACTGGACCGCGAAAGCTGGGCTGTGGTGCTGGGCTCCCTTCTTGGGCTGGAGCAGATCGACTGGAAATGTGAGAAGGGCGATGAGCTGCGGATCGACGGGTCTCTGGGCAATGACTTGCAGATCGACGGGTCTGGGCGATGACTTGCACCTTTCCCGAGTTGCACGGGCCGGGAGTTGAGAGGGGAACAGGCGGCGGAGAGCTTCGAGTGGAGGATCGGACGGCGGCCTTTGACTTCACCGGCGAGACTCGAGAAGATCCCTGGCAGGCGGAGTAGATTCTCAGATTGTGGAGTGGACGGAGGCCCTGGGCGTGGCGGGCGACGAGCTCCAGCTGGCCTGGAAGTGCTCCAGCGGAAAAGGCCGGGAAATGACCGGCGAGCAACCTCGTCGTTCCCGGTAAACGAGACCATGTCCGGGTGCGGCTCAACGCGTAGACTTCGACGGTGCCGCTGGTTAGAGGTGAGTTGCCGGGAATTGCCGTGAAATCGAAAAGGCAGCCGGGGAAGACGAAGTTGACCGGTGTTCTAGATCTATAGAATTTTGACCGCAAAATTGATGACCCTCCGGTTTGAATTTTTGCGTGAGATTGCAACGGTAGGACGAGCTTCGCGAGAGCTTCACGATGGTACCAACGGTTTTCTAATCGGAGCACTTTGACTGGTGGAGGCGGCAGCGTCCGGCGGCGGCGCACGGCGGAGGTCGGAGTCAGAAGATTCGTCTCGGCGAGAGGCTTCCAGTGGTACCCTCCGATTTCCGATAGCCTTCCCGGATTGTTGGGAAAATTGGTTTGAAGATTGATAGTTGACCGGAATTACTTAGATCTGGAAATTTTGACCGGAAAATCGACGGCCTTCCCGAATGAATTTTCGAACGAAATTTTAAGCGGAGGTTCTCCTCGGGGAGATCTATCCAATGGTGTAAGAATCTTTCCGATCCGGCCACTTTGGCCAGAGGCCGGTGG